GGGCAGGGGCCGTCGAGGCGGCGCGGCGGGACCGGCCGCGACCCCGCGGGGATGGGCAGGGGCAGACCCCGCAGCCGGGGGCGAGGAGCCGCCGCGGATCTTGCCCCCGCACGGCCGGGCCCCTCCTCTGCCGCCGGGTCCGGGGGCTCTGTGTCCCCCGGCAAGGCGGGCAGGATGGGGACCCCGTCCGTGGCACCTCCTGGGAGCACTTGCGAACAGCACTTTCCCTCCGGAGAAGGGAAGAGTCGATGGAATAAAAACAACTTCAGGCGCTCAAATCACGGGGGGGGAGCTGCGCTCAGTCCCCTCCGTGTACGACCGCCAGATAAAAGAACTGTGTAATTCTCATAATTACCGCATAATTGCCCCCCTGATGGGCCAGGGACGGCGGCGACAAACTAAATTTAAGGGTCGATTTAGAAAAGACAAGCCAAGCCGCAGTCCCAGAAATCTCACCAAATTCCTCCAGCGCTACTAACCCAGCGAAAAACGGGAGAAAAAAAAACAAAACCATACTGGAGAGCCCTTCTGCCCTGGGCTTTGCAGGTGCGGCCGGAGCGGCCGCTGGCAGCCCGCCGGGGGGGGGGGGGGGGGGGGGGCGAAACGGAGCCGGTGCCGGGCTGTGCGGTGCGCTCGGTCCTGTGGGGATTTCCCGCGGGTCCCGGCCGGCCTGCGGGTTCTGCAGCGGGAGGGAGCGGGGGGTTTGTGCCCGGGACGCCGGATTTGGCCGGGTACTCCGTGACCTGGCTGCGCGGTCCCTTCGCCCTCTGTATTTTCTTAATTGGCAAAGCCCGCCAGATGCCCTGCGGCCAGGGGCAGCTCGGGGTTGCTCGGCACCAAGTCTGGGCAGGTGGATCCTATTTAAAGTCCCTCTTCATCTGCCAAAAGGAGCCTCGTGCGAATCGAGACAGGATGAAGCCCGTTTCCAGCAGGACTTCACTTGTCTCCCGCAGGCTCGTCTACAGAGAATATGCCACTGCAGAGTGGAGACATTGATTTAATGCCTTGGGCTTGTACACAGAAAATATCAATCGACCGACAGCGATAAGGCAGCAGGTTTCACATATCAGCTGAGGAGCACAGACCGTGTGTAATGGAAATATTCGAGGCGTGGGTAATAAAAAGGTTTAAGCGGACCGACGCGGCTCCAAACCTCTCATAGATAAGGAGCGGAGCCTGTCACGGATACAGCGTGTGCCCCTTCGCCACTCGCCATCAAGATTATATCCCTTCCCTTTCTCCTCATAGGCAAATGGTGGCTGCTGTGGGCAATGATCCACTCACATAACAGGGATGCGGCTCACGTTAAAAAATGCGGGTGACCGCCGCAACAAGAGCAGCTTTCTGTGCTCGATTTAGGACTTAGAAGTCAACAGAGGGGAGAAGAGTCCCCCCGTTTTCCGTCCCGCTCCTAGCTGCCCTGCTGCTGCTTTAATCCTCTGCTCAAGAAGCCCCCGGCCATAGTGCAAAAATAAACCAAAAGTGGGCTCCATAGGAAAGAGGGTGCACCACCACCACCCCCACCACCGCCCGCCCCGCAATATGTAGAGGGGAGCTTACGAGCATCTCCTCCAGCCGGACCGCTCGCTCGGTGCCAGGAGGGAAGGAGCTGGCGGG